TGCCTGACAGATAGGAAAACGAAGGCCTAGGTCGAAATGGGATCGGAAGAAGGTGTAATAGCCATCAGGAGGGTTATCGTAGGTATCATCATCACCAGGGGTACGAGCAGTCCCAGGATGACCAATCAAATCAAAGTCGAGACGGGTAGTGCTCGAAGATGATCTAGACGATTTGGACCGTTTGGATGACTTGGGTTGATGGGAACAAGAAGGTATGGTCGAAGAGACAGGGGCGCGATAGGACAGAGAAATAAAGTCTTTGGGATCACGAGCAAACAGTGGGATGTGGTCCTGGGGATCGTCCTTGTCTTCGATCTCGTCATCTTGACCGATAACTCAACGAACACGCTCGGCGGAGGGAGAGGAGGGCGGCTGGTAACCTCATCCTCCGGTTGGTCGACAAGGTAGGTGGAGGGAGAGATAGCAGTGGTTGTAGGACTATTGCTGATCGTTGCAGGGGGAGGATGGAAATGGGCTCAGGCTGAAGAATTTCTTGTACAGAATCGCTCGATAGGCTGAGGGTCGCAGAAGAAGAAGGGGAAGTCAGGTCCTTCTCGCTTTATCGATCGTTCTCGCTCGAGGTAGCAAAATCTGAGATAAAAGAAAGAAAAACTATAATTAATCAAAGGAAAGAGCAAAAGCAAAGAACAAAGCGAAAAAGAATGGGGGAGAACACAGCAGGAAGGACGAGCAAAGGGCGTGGCCCGAATCGAGGAGAGGTTTGAGGGAAAGGGAGGAACCCAAAAATTAAAAATTAACAAAACAAAAATTGAAGAGTTATGAAGACTTACTCATAGCGAACAACGGAGAACTTGCGAAGAAGATGGAGAATTCAAGGTTGCGGGATGCTCAACGGTTGCAGAGAGCTTTAGGGAGATGGAGTGCGCAGGTGAAGAAAAGGAAAAATTTCCCTAAGTGTGGATATTTATAAGGGCAAAAAGTGAATGGGAAAAATCGCTGACCGCAGGACCATAAATAATGAAGGGATGCGATCGGAGGACAAGCGAACAGACATATAATCCCGAGCCGTAGGATTAAAGTAGGAAATCCAACAGAAGGAAAAAGAGATACGCAGGAGCGGGGGCGAGATTCGAGGCAACACAGGTCACGAGGTTATCATGACTTCTGAGTAGGCGAAAAGACGCATCCCAAAAGGGCGGACAAATGGCGAAATTTGAAATTCAAAAAGCGCAAAGTGGCGGTTAGAAAAGAAAGTAAACGCGCAAAGGAAGGAAATGTGTCAGGTGGCCGAAAACAAAGAAGCAGAACCTCCACGACACAGAAAAAAACCTACTCTTAGATCGAGTCATTCAGACTCGACCAGAGTGGGGGGACTAGATGATATGGGATATTATATACTAGACCAGTTTATTGGGCTAACCGGATAAAATAGACTGGTTCGTCGGGTTAGCTAAATAAGACGGGTCAAATGGTATGGTCGAACTGGGCCAGGCACCTGCAACGAAGGACAGAGAGTAGACAGCGAAGACGAGCGGAAGTGATCGACAGGCACCGGCTACTCAAGGAGTTAGTCGAGGAAAGATGGTCGGATAAGGTGTGGTCGTACAGACTTGGCCGAGCAGCAGAATACACAAGGGAATCTCCAGCACGTGAAAGGAGAACACGCGGCATTCTATGAGTGGCCCAGGACAGTAACAAACTCTGACAGGTTCGACGCGTCCTCTGACATCAGGGATAGTGGAGGCGCGCGGTTGTACGGACGAGCAGAGGGCGACTGGCCAAACTTGCCCTACCCGCGCGTGTAGAACAGGTAGCTCGTCCCTATAAATAGAGACGAGAATCCTCACTTTTCGATACAATCTCTCATACTCTTACATATTCACATACACATATATTATATCTCAAGATCTGACTTGACCGTTGGAGGCTCTTCACCGGAAAACACCTCCTGTGTGGGAGTTTCGTGCAGGTTCCGCGTTCAACCGGCGAAGAGAACGAGCTTGAGGCAGTTTCCAGTCGGTCAGGGTGCGAGACTTGTATTAATATTCTATATTTTAAATAATATAAAAATTAAATAAATAGGTTCTTATTAATTTAATAAATATCTAATAAATTTTAAATAATATAATAATTTAGTATATAGATTTTACAATAATCTCATTACCCTGTTGGGGCCTTAGATTACCCCGTTGGGGTCCTGTAATTTGTTCTTTTTGCACTTTTGTGCCCTTCTATATTACCTCTATCGTTCCGAAAAAAAAAAGATTTTACAATAATTGAATAATTAGAATCCATATGATATATAGTATAATAATTAAGTAAATCTAAATTATAAATAATATAATAATAATTATAAATTATAAGTCAGATAAAATTCAGTATATATCTTTTATAATAACTCAGTGGATATATTCTAAATTATAAATAATATATTAGAATCTATTTACTCAAATATTATAAAATATAAATACTGAATTATTTTATTACTTATAATTTATTATTATCATTATATTATTTATAATTAAGTAAATATATTTTAAATCATAAATAATATATTAATTAAATAAATAGATTCTATATTATAAATACTATAATGAATGATAGATTCTAAATTATATATGATATAATAATTAAGTAAATATATTAAAAATTATAAATAATACAACAATTAAATAAAGAGATTCTAAATTATAAATAAAACTAATAATTACAAAATTTTATATTTAATCATATTTAAAAATAATTAAAATAACCAAAACTATTCATATTTTTTAAAGATCATACCAAAGGATATTTATATTCTATTTAATAGTTTTATGAATTATAAATAGTATTTTTTATTTATCATACATTTACTAGAAAATAAGTACTTAAATTTTTTATTACAAATTTTAATGAAAAAATGGTATATTTATCGAACATTTAAAAAATATATAAAATAATTACAAACTAAATAAAAGAATCAAATACAAATCATACATAACTATTGAATACAAAATATTTTATTTACAAATTACTACTTTAATAATATATTAGATAGAGAAATATCATTTCATTTTATTACAAATAAATTTAATTTAACTTAATTCAATGAAATTATCATCCTATTTTTAATTAAAGTAATATATTAATTTATTATTTTCAAATTCGCATTTAATTTCAATTGTATTTTATTTTAGTTATATTTTCTATAATTACTTTATTTTGTGATTGTTTTATTTTTATTTTTTATTTTTTTTGATTAATTTCTTCTGTTCTGCTAATTTAAATAAATATGTTAGATATGTACCATGTGTTGATGAAGGCAGAGTGGTTTGAAGCTTTGCCTATTGAGCTTTTGGCCCCGTGTTCGAATCTTAGGGCTAGCGAAACAAATTTTTTTCCTAACAATGAGTAGAAAAGCAATGGGGAAAATAGTAAATTTTAATTTTAAAGTTAAAATATTCGCATTATAGAAATGTGTACTACACGCGCCGTGAAGTTAGACGTAGAGAGGAATCGTGCAACAGTTAGTTAATACAAGAAAGACTGATGCAATCACGCGCACGCGCCGTCAAGTTGGACGGAGAGGGAGGATCTTGCAACAGTTCACGCGCCCTCAAGTTGGATGGAAAGGAGGAATCTTGCAACAATTAGTTAATACAACAATTAGATAATACGAGAGAGTGATGCAATTTTTGAAATAAGGAAAAAGTTAGTTAATACGATAGAGTAATGCAATTTTTTTTAGAAAAAAAAAAAAAGAGAAAACGCGCAAATTTCACGATTTTGTATAATACAGATGGAATTCTCATCCTCGAACTTACTTACCACACCACCGACAGTCATATATTTTCTCTCTCTTTTCTCTCTCGAAAGTTCCTCTCTACAAAACACACGCACAGATCTAGAGTTCCCGTTGTTAGATCCGACCGCCTTCCCCATCGGGACTCTCCTATTGTCTGGTGGTGACAGGCCTAGGCCTCGTGTTCCGTTCTTCTGAGATTCGCCGCCGGGAGGTGGGCTTCTTCGCCCGGGAGATGGTGCGATCCGTCCTTGTCTCGGTCTTCGCCGTGATTTGGTGCTTGGATGGTGAGGCGATCGGCCGTTTTTTGGGAATCTTCGCTTTGGCGATTCCTCCGGCGGTTCCTTAGAAGAGGGATGCGGCTTCAATTTCTCCGATTCGGGGCTTTTGGAGAGGTGGGCTTGCCCTTTCAGCGGTGGTCTTCTCCGGTTCTGATGATGGGCGGAGAGGTTGGTCTGAATGAGGGGGATGCCTCCGGGTGTGGGGGGATGTCCGGTTGGTTTGGGGTTGTATCCGTTGGTACCGGGCTTAGTTATGCGGGCCTTGTTGAGGCTTTTCAGGCAGTTTCTGGTCCCGGTTCTAAGGGTCGGACCTCGTCCGATGGATGGATGTCCGTTGTTGCTGCTTGTTCGATGGGTTAGTCTACCGGTTGTGGGAAGGGTGTTTCTTGTAGGTTTTTTGGTGTTTTCTTATTTTGTTTAGTCTTCCACTGTTTGTTTTTGGGTGTGTGATTTTGTGTTGTATTCTCCGGTTGGGGAGCGTGTATTCTCCTGTTGGAGAGGTTGTATTCTCTCGTTGGGGAGTGTGTATTCTCCCGTTGGGGAGTTTCTAGGCTACCTTGGGTAGACCTCTCATTCCGGTTATGCCCGATTGTAATTATGTTTTTTATAATGAAATCTATTGTTTTGAA